CTTTTCACAGAGCTGATGGGGAGTAAGAACAAAAACGTGGGGCACCTGGGTGGCTCAGTTAGGTGTCTGACTTCAGCTCAGGTCATGATCTCACGGTCCGTGGGTTCGAGCCCCGCGTCGGGCTCTGGGCTGACGGCTCGGAGCCCGGAGCCTGCTTCGGATTCTGTGTCTCCCTCTGTCTCTGACCCTCCCCCGTTCATGCTGTCTCTCTCTGTCTCGCTCTGTCTCTGTCTGTGTTGTCGTGACACAAGAAGACGGAAGCAGGAAGCAGCTAAGAGACAGTGGTGAAAACAGAGCAGTCCAGGACAGGTGAACACCACTGGCTGGAGATCAGAATCCAAGGTAAGAAAAGTAAAAGACAAGAGAGGAAAAGATGGTAGGAAGGCAGGACAGAAAGAGGCATCGGGAAATCAGGAAATATGGAAAACTGGGGTCCCACGTGTTGGGGATAAACCACCCCCAAAGCACGCACAGGCCCCTCAGTCCCCAACACCCAAGTCCCAGCCAGGAGCCGACCAGTTCTCCCCCGAGGAGGAGGAGACGTCTGCTCTTTGGGTTACGTCAAGTAACTGTTGCCCCTTCTGCTGAGAAGAGTACCCGGCTTTTCATTCAGAGAAGAACTCCTCTCCCTCCATCAGACACACCCCAGCACCAGCAGGGGTCCCATCCAAACCTGGCCCATCCCACGGGTCCATCACCCATCCCTGAGGATCAGGAAGGGGATCCTGGTCCAAGACAGGCCCGGGAGAGACACTGAAACACCCAGACAGGCTGAAAGCCACCCATCAACCCGCAGAGAGCACCAGCCCGAGAAGGACGCCTGAGCAAAGGACAGAGCGGATGGCAGCAGGTTTCCGGCCACGGGCCCGGTCATGCCTGGGCCGCACGTACACTCAGACTCTCTGGCTGCAACACAAGCCGACAAATCCCATCTTGGCTCCCGCTGTCCAAGCTCAGATCTGCAGCATCTGCACCAACGGGCCTGACCGACACGAGGAAGCTCCACCCCGGCCCCTCCTGTCTGCATGAAGGAAGGACCCCTTCCTCAGGGAGGCCCGGCAACTGGGAGGCTGGCATCGGGAGGCCGTGGCCAAGAGGCAGAGGCACCACAGTGCAACAAAAGGCTGTTGGTTCCACCCCAGCAGTGACATCTGGCCGAAAACCAGACGCTCACCTGATACACGTGGAAGGCATTCGCCGCTTTGCCCCGCAGAAACACTGACGGGATCCAGACGTTGATCAGCGCCCGGTTTGATCTGACCAAAACCAAAGATCAAAATTAGTCATTTCAATTTACAATGAGGATAGCAGGAAAACAGACTTCTCCTCTAAGAGGCATCACACACCAGAATTTAGGACAACATCGATCATGTCTACGAGTAAGACGAAGGGCCTGGGTAGGCGTGTTCGCCCAGCCCCCAGGATCATTCTTCAGGGACTTAGTTTAAGTCTATGTGTATTTTTTTGTTCAGACACACAGTGTGTACTTTGGAATAAGAAATGGACTTTAGCTTTACAACTGAGTCACCGTGACTCCTACTTTCTCTAAACCTGAGTTTATTCCTCTGAAAAGAGGGATAATAATTGGAGGCCCCCACGGCGGTGTGGAGGGTCATGTGACCTGATGACTGCAGGGTACCTGGGGCACCCAGAGGGGTCACACTGTCTCCTCGCTGTGCCCCTCTACACCCCGGCCCCCGTTTTAAGATCAGACTCCACCCAGGGGCTCAGGAGACCGACATCCATGGCGATGCAGGTAACGGCTCTTTGGGGTGGGGGTAGGGGAAAGAGAAAATGGCAGGCTGGGATACCAGGAAGCCAGGTGCAAATACCCGCCTTGCAACTCTCCAAAACCACTGTGTGTGGCTCCAGTGAATCAAGATTTAAATTCAAGGGCAAGTCATTTCCTGAGCACCTACAACGTATGATTTCATGATTTCCCTGGATTATCTCAGGGAATCCTCATGGGATATTTAAGGGGTCCTTCAAGGGTCCCCTGGGGTATGTGAGCTCTGCCTCACATGACGGCTGTCACCTAGCTGTGAGTCGCTGGGTACACGGGCCCACTCCAGTGATCTTCCACCAGGCTGAAGGCCAGACGTGCAGGCTGGAAACCCTGTCTCTAACACCTGAGGGTCAGTCCTGACGGGTATCACGAGGGCACCGCACAACTCTGGGAGGGGCCTCCACCTCGCATTGTGCCCGGGCTCAGGGCCCCCTCCTGAACTCTCCCTCTCTCTAAGGAGCAGCCCACAAAGATGTACCAGACTTCTGTGCTTACAACACAATCTGAGACGATGGGGGAAGAGCCCGGGACTCAGTGGTCTCCCCAACTCAGGCGTAGAGAGCATTTTAGTCTCACAGAGAGATGGTTCTCTCCTGAGGCGGCATCCTTCCAAGCTCCGAGCTGAGGTGCTGACTTCCTCCACGGGGCAAAAGCATCCATCAGCTCTCAGAGCTCCAAGTCCAAATGGCAATTCTGAGCCGTCAAGCTGGTTTGCACATTAATGGCACCCCTCCCATCCCTCCCCGTCCCTCCTGGAAAGGTCCTCCCAAGGGTCCTAGCGCCTAAAGTGTTCCCTTGCATCTCTGTCCGGGGGTGGGTCGGGCACCAGCGGACCCAACGATCTGCTTTGCATTCACCTTCCTGATCAGTGAGTGTGAGACATCCCCGACTGGCTTCAGCATTTCTCCGTCTCAGAACATTCACCCCACAGCATGAGAACTGTTTACAGGGCCATTTCCCTCCTTGATATTAACTCACTTGTTCCGTCTTTTGTTGGCTCACTCATGCATTAAATAAATGCTGAATGAGAACCTACTATGTGCCAGTGGCTACTCTAGGTCCTGGAGACACAGCATGGAAGCAAGATGACCCAGAGACAAATCCCTCTGGTTAGTAATTCACTGTGGTCCAAGAAGGTACTTTCTAGAATTTCCATCTTTTTTTTTTTTTTAATTTTTTTTTTCAACGTTTATTTATTTTTGGGACAGAGAGAGACAGAGCATGAACGGGGGAGGGGCAGAGAGAGAGGGAGACACAGAATCGGAAACAGGCTCCAGGCTCTGAGCCATCAGCCCAGAGCCTGACGCGGGGCTCGAACTCACAGACCGCGAGATCGTGACCTGGCTGAAGTCGGACGCTTAACCGACTGCGCCACCCAGGCGCCCCTAGAATTTCCATCTTTTTAAGGTGAGGGAGACTTGTTTTGTAGTGTAACATAGGATCTATCCTGGAGAACGTACCAGTACACTTGAGAAGAGGGGCTCCTGGGTGGCTCAGTCAGTTGAACATCTGACTCTCGATTTCAGCCCAGGACATGATCTCATGATTGGTGGGATCGAGCCCCAAGTCTGGCTCCGTGCTGAGAGCATGGAGCCTGCTTAGGATTCTCTCCTTCCCCCTCTCCCTCTGCCCATTCTCCCCACTGGTGCACACTCTCTCTCAATCAAAATAAACATTTAAAAATATGTATTTAAAAATAAGAAGTAAAGTATATACTGTTCTCATTGGGCTGAGGAACTACGCACGAGTACCCGAACCCCAAAGCAACCTGATTGTGAAACAGTCTGAAGACCAACTAAGTTCTTTAGGAGCTTATCATCAGGGGCACCAGCCAGAGTCACATCCAGTCACAAATCAGACCCATGCACCAAACCACTGCTGTTTCCATTAACTCAGGGGTTGCGAACTCATTCTTCCAGGAGACACACAGAGAAAGAAATGAGGGCAGCAGGCCAGAGTCAGGCAACAGGGAAAAGGGGGGACTGTGGTAAGTGAAAGAGTACTTGCCCTGTGTGAAGGAGGCGGCTGCTACTCGGCTCTGACTGTGGCCTGGTAGGGATCGGAGCCCCCCTTGTTTTCTTTTTAAAGCGAAATTTAAATTCTTATGTGATAGCTTCCAAGTCTAAAATGTCAGCCAAAAATATAACTGTTTTCTAATACCCAAGAAGAGAACCACGGCACATCTGAAGGCCAGACTTGGGCTGCAGGTGAACAGCCTCTCCCTCTATGATAACCAAATTGCCCTGCGCAGACTGAAACAGTGATCTTTGTTTCCCCCCACCGTGGTCTTCTGGGAGACAAGCCAAACCACTGAGTCCTACTTCTAAAGGGGCCCTCGTGAGTAGATGCCGTGGACTTACATTTCAAAATCCGACAAACTCTGGTCTTCGGATGTTTGGCTCAAATCTCCGGGCACCTGCCATCAGGAAAGGGGAGAAGGGAGAGAGAAAATGCATCCTGGTTACCGTGGTTGGCATAATCATGCAAGAATCCTGCCTCCCAATGAGGCTTACACATTTCCTGTTCAGAACAAGGTGAGAAAGCAGTTACTGGAAAACAAGAAGAGACTGTGTGGAAGGATGGTTAGGGATGGTGTTGGGGTAATAAAAATATGTCACCATGAGGAATCTTGATTACCTTCACAGAAAAAGGACTGTTAATCCTATCGGGATAATAGCAGGCCTATAAAATCGTGTAATTTTGGAGCTCTAAAGACCTGGTTAGGATCTGAGATACAAGATACCAGATGAGTAGTGGACAAAACAACCACTGCCACCATGATGAACACAGACGCACCGAGGACATAAACACAAAAGGTCAACGTCTGCCCCCAGACAGCTCCATCCTTCCCTGTCACGATACACCAGCACCTGGAAGGCACAGCACAGCTGCCGTTCCTGACCCAGAAGGGCCCCAGGAGAACACGATTCGGTCCAAGAAACTCCACTACCTGGCAGGATGGCAGGTACCCCGTAAAGCAGGTACTGAAATGGTCAGCACCAAATGTTCAATAAATGGCGGTATTACGGTCACGGCCACGGCATGAGCTTCTGATCGGATCTGAAGCGGCCAGAATTTAAGGATGTGGATCAAAACCAAGAGGAAAGAGTGCAAAGGGGGAGGGTGTGGGCAACTGAGGAAGAGAGCATTGACTTCACACACTACACCTGTCAGAGCTTTCCTGTTACCACAGTCTGCATCGTTCTTCATAACAATCTGCCCCCCCCCCAACCCCTTCATAGATGAGCAAACAGGCTCAGGGAGGCTGAGACCTTGCCAAGGCCACACATGCAGGAAGTGGGTCTGAATTCAGATCTGTCCGACCGCAAAGGCTTTTCTGCCAAACAACCCTCAGCAAACACAGGGAAAACCAGCTGTGGGGTGGAAGGAGGTGAGACCTGGACCCTTTCCTGGGGGCTGGAGATGCCAGAAGGCACTCCTTAAAGACACAGTGGGTTCTCTCCGAGGCAGGAGGATGCCGTGATTATGGAGCCTACACTCTGGGGCCACAAGGCTCAGGGTCAACCCCAGCCCCAGCTGTTCTTGACCCTGTAGCCACGAGCAAATCACTTGCCCCCTCTGGTCACACTGCCCTCACCTGTAAAACAGGCAGGACAGTCATAGCACTCAGAGTTCACCTACAGACAAAATGAGCTGATGCCTACAGAGTACCCAGAACAACACCTGGGAGGTAGGACGTTCACGGTAACTGCACTGTATTAACAGTATGGCCGTTACGGAGAAAAGCTCTATGTTCTGTTATCCTTGACACAGAGAATCTGTCCTGCCAACCCAAAGGCCGTCTCTCCCCACAGCCCAGGGGGAGGACACCCAACCTGAGCCCTGGACAGATGTGTGCAGCCAAGCAATTAAAATGGGCTCCATGAGCAGGTTTGGCTTAGAAGCTGCTATGGAGGGATTCCTTCAACCCCAACAAGGAGGTACATGCCTACCCCGCAACCTGAGAAAACTTCAGCTTAAAGGGACCAGGAACTCACTGGGCTGGTTGGTGTGGCCCTTCTGTTATGGCGTCCGTCATTTTTCCTGTGGACGGCTGGGAAGACGGTTTAATCTATTAGGGAAGCCATGACACTGTGTCCCCCAATCCCTAAGAACATCCACATGCTCTGACCCAGATACCTCATTCCTACGGTTTCTCTGGAGGAAATAACCAAAGACACAGACCAAAATTTACATCAAAGATCATTCCTCTTTCGATGGCTGAGATTTTTGCAAATCATCTAAAGGTCCAACTGTAGAGAAACCATTCAGGAAATGATGGCGTGTGTGTACGAGATGGCCAGATTGAACAAAAAATAGGTTACACGTGCACACTCATGAGGGTACAAAGCATGAAAATGATTCTGGAAAAATACAGAAGAACATTAACAGTGGCTATCATTGATAATACAGTAGGAGTGGGAGTGGGGAGAGAAACAGACCAAATTTGCATTGGCTGTATTTCCATAAGACTAAAATAATCTATCTTTCGAATGAACTGCTTTAGAAAAAAATTTTAAATGTGCTTTTGAAGAACAAAATAGCTTTCCGTGTGCGGTCATGAAAAGATCTCCAGGAAAGATCAAGAGAAAGCCTAAGCAGGGTGCAGGTGGTGGGTCTAACGTACTATCCTTAACGCACAAGTGCAGAGGTAACTATCAAGCTGTATTCGTCTGTTCCTGCATTGAGAAACACTAGCAGGGAAATTTAAGACACCCAGAAAAGGAGCACCCAGTGGGCACCGGGGTGTGGGAGTGGGGGCCTGGGCAGCCGGCAGAAGACACTGAAAATGAGGCTATTTGGAGGTGCCTGGGTGGCTCAGTCGGTTAGGCATCTGGCTCTTGATTTTGGCTCAGGTCATGATCTCACGGTTCATGGGATCAAACCCCGCGTCGGGCTCTCTGCTGTCAGCACAGAGCCCACTTTGGATCCTCTGTCCCCCTCTCTCTCTACGTATCTCCTGAGCGCTTTCACTTGTACTCTCAAAAATAAAGAATAAAATAAAACATTAAAAAAAGAAAACGAGTCTATTTACTAAATATCCTTTTACATCATTTGAGTTCTGAAATAACATACTGCCAATTGAACATTTAAATAAAAGTGTATTATCCCGCCAGAAGAGAGCTTCTGATAGATTTTTAATGGCATAGCCAACAGCTCCTTGCCTCTGTTTCACAAAACGCTGCTTGGAACTGTGAATTCTTAAGCACGACTTAAGACGTCCACCCATCAGTAAGGTCAGAATGAAACGAGGGGAAAGGGGACACCGGGGAGAGAGAGGTCACATGGATTGCACTTTTCTGGACTTTCTACACTGAAAGTGCATTGATCACGTAACCGTAAACAGACACATATTATGTGTTAAGTGTCTCTCGTGTAACTGTGTAAAGTAAATAAAATACTCTGCCTGATGCCCAGCCCGCCCCCTGCAAAATGCACTTGGCTGAAATGTAGAAAGCCGTGAAAAAAGTAGAGACTTTGCCTTCAAATGCTCTGGAGTCCGGGATGCAGAAAGACAAGGGGAGGCTCTGAAGGCCCAGCACCGCGCACACACCACGCTCCCCTTGGCTCTTCCACACGGAACCCCGTGGCACGGCCAGGACTCTAGCACCTTCTCTGGCATGGCCGTGGGGGCGGCCCTTGGCCTCTCTTTTCCGAGCTTCCCCCTTGACACCCGGGTCTGGGGAAGGTTCCTCGGGCACGACAGGAGAAGCAGGTACGCATACTGGAGAAGGGACTGCCAGACTGAAGACGGCTGCCACACCATTTCGTGCATGGTGACGCCATCTTTCCATCAGCCTGGTTTCACACTGGAAGCGAACAGAGTTCGGACCCAGGGAGCTGCACTCGCAAGAGGGAAGGTTCTGACTGGATCGACCCCACAAAGCTGAAGGAAAGGAGACCAGAAGGACTCAAGGAAAAGAGAAGGTGACGGTGTTAAGGACAGACATCACTTTACAAGGCTAAGAACAAAGAAAGCCGCTTCTAAAAAGGAATCGATTCTCAGAAGGCAGTATTTTCTTCACACATACGTTAACTCTCAGGGGTGCTGATTTTTAAGAATCATCTTGGGCAATGGATCTAAGTAGCCGGAAGGTGTTAAACCCTTCTGAATTAGGACATGGGCCACAACATCCCTTGTGACCGCCCGAAGCTACAAGGAAAGCCTGGAGGGACACGTCTCTAGGATATGGCCTGTGTTGGCGTCACCCTCAACAGGGGGCATAAAACAGGGATCAGCAACACGGATGTTCTCATTCACTTCTCTCAGGCCCTGGAGAAAAGGCGGGTCCCCGCCTGGCCTGTGGGCTGGGGACTCACGTGGCAGCATGTGGGTGCAGGAAAGGCAGAGCCCGTTTCTGGAGACACAGAGCAGCCAGCATTCCCGGATCCTCCTGGACAAACACCCCAGGTGCTGCACACACACGGCTGGGGGTGGGAGGCAGGCGAGGCTCACAGAAAACACTCTTCTAGGCTGCGTTAGCAAAGAAGCTTCCCCAGTCTTTCCAAACTCAGGATTTCACGAGCTGCTTGGGGACGGGGGAGCAGAGATAGGCCAGCTCACCGTAGCCCCTCACAACTGGGCCAAAATGGAATCCAGACGCTGGTTCACCCTGCTGTTCTGACCTAGAATTCCTCAGACCTGGGATAAGGGCTCAAAGAACTGAGACTTGGCCAAAAAGAGTAACAAACATACTAAGTAAGTGCTTATTTAAACAGGAAGGGAAGGCAGGAGGAAGAGAGGAAAGAACTAATTATATTATATATTATAATTATTATATTATATAATATAATTATTATATTATAACTATTATAATATTAGTTATCATAGTTAACTACTATTAACTATACTATTTAATAACATCAAGCTCAGCCCCTTCATCCCCACTCAAAGACAACTGTTCAAAATGTAAAAGAAAGGCAATCTTTAAGGTCTATGAAAAACAAGTCCATATATAGACTTTACTCATTCCAGTTCATTTTTTATAACTCAACAGGTGAACTAAAGTGACTTCGCAGTGAACAGTTCATTCTCAGTGAGCAGAGGGCAGAATTCAAAAAAAGGTAACAGAATGAAGACAAGGGCCAAGCCCAGCAAAGGGAGGTGGAGGTCCTGCAGAGCCAGCTACACTCCCATTTCTAGAAAGAGCCCTAGGGTCTCCCACAACTTGGAGAAAACTGCCTTGCTAGAAAACTGCCTTTTTCAAGCCAGGAATTCTACAAAGGAGAATGTAACATGGCCCAGTTTCAGAAAAACCACACCTTAAGCTCTGAGTTTATTATCTTGGGTTTTGGGGACCTGGGTGAACTGCAAATCTTCTTTTTTGGACTCTTTCTAATCATGCATCTTGTCACCCTAGCAGGGCACACAACTATTGTGCTCATCACCCTCGTTGACTCCTGCCTCCAGACCCC